TCTTTAAACTTATGAACCTTTCTTTTTCTGTATATTGAAGGTGACTAAAAAGTTATTAGAATTCTGTAATTACAATTAATTGGGTTTTTAAAATACTAATTCCTAAAAGAAAATACAAAAGAAGCGTACTAACCTAGTTCCTCTAATCCCACTTAAATATTTTGGCATCCTACAAAATCAATAGAATTGTAAAAGAGAAAAATAGGAATTCTGTCACAGTTCTAGCAATATTTTAGTTTTGTTTATAGATGAAAATTGTACTTTTTCAAATAAAGACTTTCATCCCAATTTTATAAGTAATAATCTGGTTTTATAGTAGTCTTTAAAGTCAAGATGTGTTTCTGATAGAAACAACCAATAAATGATCATCCAATAGATCATTCACCAGCCAGCCAGTTTCCTCACTCCTCGAACCCAAGCAGCCTGCCCAGCTCGCCTCCAACATACAACCATAATTCCGTTCCATTCTCCAACTTTGGAAACTTAACCTGGCATCCAAAAAGTGCAGTCAATTAACAAAAGTGTCTTTTTTTCTTTTTTAAGAAAAAGTTATGCCATAGATACGTGCAGTAAGGCAAATTAGTACATCTGGCAGATTTCTTCATGGGGCCCCTAAGTCACCTTTCTTCTGAAGTCCTATAGTTATTTTTAGTAGAGTTTGTAGAATACTTCTTGTCATGTTTTTCAAACACCTAGTCAGTGACCTGTGTTGCTGTCATCCAATAGATCATTCAACACCAGCCAGCCAGTCTCCTCACTCCTCAAACCCAAGCAGCCTGCCCAGCTCGCCTCCAACACACAACCATAATTCCGTTCCATTCTCCAACTTTGGACCCATTGGGACTCCAGATAACAGGGACAGAAGGCCTGCAGATCGCTGGAAGACTGATAAGCCGGGTGAGGTCTAGGCTTAATATCTTGGAAAGTGAAGTAATTTGCTATATCCTTACCTGGGATTTGGTATACTATCTGGCAGTAATAGGGCATCTTGAATTCTTCTCTTTTCATCCCTTAGCCATGGGTGGCTTTGGTGTTGATTATCTCTCAACAACTTCACCCTCTGAGAGCAGTTGGCATCAGGCCAGCACTCCAATTGGCACCTGGACAGGCCATGGTCCTTCCATGGAGGATTCTTCTGCTGTCCTCATGGAAAGCCTAAAGGTGAGTACATTTCCAGAACAAAAACCACAAGACTAGCTGCAAAGATGACTACCTGGACTCAGTTAGAAAGCGGGGTTTGCTTCCGCAGCCCTCGGAATTGGCAGATGTATAGCATATGTGTAACGGAGGTCTAGAAATATGATCAGCCTTACCAGGAGTCTTCAGTAGATTTGAATTTTTAACTTGAGAATCCTCTAATGATAAAGAAGTTTCTTTGGGGGATTAAAGCATAAAAGTTTTCCTCCAAGATTAAGAAAATTCTGTTTCATCTTGGAATGTTTAAGTCTTTTTCTGACCAAGTGAAGGAAAAGTTTGTGATTTAAAACATGACTTGCTTGCCTCTATATAAACATACCCTGCTACCGCACATGGAGCTGTTAGCAAAATGACTTCATTTAAATGCATACTTTTGCCTTCTACAGTTTAAAATAATTTTAACAGGAACTAACTAATCTTAGAGACTTAAGTGATGTTTTCTAATAGCTGAGTGTTTTATAGGATAGAATGTGGTTCTTAAAGCATATATTCCTATATAGCTGGCTGGGATTAAAACAGATCCCCCCTCAGACCGCTAGTTGACCTCTGCTGACAAGATCTGGGCTATTTTTCAGTCTATCTGGTCCAGTTCCATGATGCATCCTGGACCCTCCGCTCTGGAGCAGTTGTTAATGCAGCAGAAGCAGAAACAGCAGCGGGGACAAGGCACCATGAACCCTCCACACTGAGGCCAAAGTGGCAACCCTGGGAATGAAGGCTCCATAAACCATGGCATGTTGGGTTTGCAGGACTGGCCCACACAGTCCCCTGCAGGTGGCAGCCCTCTTGTCTGTTCCTTGCTGTCAAGAGGGTGTAAGTGTTCCACCAGCCGCTGAGTGTGCACGAAGTGTCCGCAGTGCAACAAAAAGAAAAATCCATCAGGAACTCTCCGTCCCCCCAGGTCCTTCTGGAGGGCGAGAGGAACTGCTGTTTGTCTCACTCAGTTACCTGATATCACCGCCTCTCACCTTCTCTGTCGTGCATGTCCCCAGCCACATGGGAAGTGAAAGCTGAGAAGGGAAGGCAGGTGGGAGAAGCCAATGGGAACTTCTCAGTCCTTTTTTCCTCTTTGGGGAATAAAATAGGAATCCATTAATGATTGCTTTGCTGACTGAGAATATAGTTGAAATTATTCCTAAACATCTTTTATTATTATTACTCTCAGTAGTAAAATATCACACTGAATTCTTCCATGACAGGTGTTCTTCTAGTCAGTGTGTAGCAAAGACAGTTCCACTCACTGCTCCTGTGAGAGGTTGGTAGGGACAGGACAGGGAACCAACCTCCTCCGCCAGTGGAAGTGTTCCGTGGGGGAGGATACAGGGCCTCTCAGAAGGTTCTGGCAGGCCCTTCTCGGGCCTGGAAATTCCAGCAGGAAATGCCCTTCACTGTGTAGGTGCTCGAGCCCTCGAGGATGCAGTGTGGGTGTTGGTGCTGGCTGGACTAGCAGGTGACTGCTGTAGGATTTCAAATTAATGTTTTTGATTCCTGTACTTTCTGCAGTAGCATAGCAGAGTCTCACAGAAAACAGGCTAGTCCATTCATGGCCTGACACATTTTATTGGGTAGAAGCTTTCAGTGTGGTTATTTTTTGTTTAGTTGGTTTTTGTGCCCTCATTCTATTTACCAGCCTCCTGCACCTGTGTCCATCCCTTTTGCTAGTAATTGTTTTTATTCTTAATGTGTACAACATCTCGCCAAGAAGCAACTGTGTAGGGTCCAGCCATTGGGGCCCAAAAGACAGTCTGAAGAGGAGGGCAGCAGTACCATCTGCATAGCCACAAGGAAAGGAGGCCAGGCCACTGCCCAGCAGCAGTCTTCCCAGCCTCTACTTCGAGAGTGAGATTCAAGGCACCATGGACACATGCACGGCATGAATAGAAGAAAACACAACGAAGACCGTTTTGGAAAAGGCGAAAGAAAGGAGAATGAACTTTTTATTTGATATTTATTAGGAGGAAAGAGGACTGAAGATGTTCTTATGTAGAAATGGACAACATTCTGTTAGTCACTTCCTGGAAAAGTAATATTTTAAGGGAAAATTATGGAAATTATCTAAATGTCCAATTGCTGTGCTAGTGGTAGGGGTTATTTTCTGGGAGGTCTCCGTGTGTGTGTGTGTGTGTGTGTGTGTGTGTGTGCTTGGCATGCACGTGCGTACGTGCCCACACATGCCCATCTGCTCCCCCAGAGGGAAGGGACTGTGTGTGTGAGTGTAAGGAGTCAGTGTGGAACTTAGCTGGAAAACAGCTGCAGAGCAAAGCACATCAAGGAGCCCCCATTGTCACTGGAGTCTGGGCAACCCCAGCAATTAAAAGGGGTGAGATAATGCTCATTGCTCTTCAGAAAGAGTGATTGAAGCCCCCATATGCTTACATTATTGCAGTTTTAATTTGACATAGTATTTTGGGTTGTTTTCTTTAGTTTTTAAAAGGTCTGAAAGGGTAAAGCCGCACCCCCCCCCCCCGGTCTAATGGCAATATGAAAACCCTTTGTGCTTCTCTCCATCCTCTTCCCTGATCCCTCTTTCCTCACCTCCCTCTTCCCTGCTGCCTTTACCCAGTTTGTGTGTTTGAGCTCTGCATTAAGGCAGCTGCAACATTCCAGTGTTTGAACTGTCACAGAATGATTCTTGCACCCTAGACAGGCTAACCAGGTTTACCGTCTCCCTCCCAGTAGCACCCAGTTCCCATCTGCAGCCCCATTCTGCATGAGAATTTGCTGTTTGGAATGTTTTCTGACTCTTGGAGCAGGGTTTCTTGTCATCCTCACTGCAGGAGTAATGAAGGGGGGAGGAGAATCTTCATCAAAAACTGGTTTTGTGTAGTAAGCTTAATTTTGTGGGGGGGTTGTTTGTTGTTTGGGGGGTCTTTTTCTTTTCTTTTTTTGTCTGTATAAGACCTGCAGCTGCTGAAATCAGCTTTGCCTTTAATTAAACCATGTTCTCTCCAACCACATCTGTGTATATGTTTATTTTCTATGCTAAATAATACAGTATTGAAGAAAATCCAGCTTAAAAACTTCAGGTACTCAACACGTCATGCAGACAAAAGCAAAAATGATCAAAATTTGAATATATTTCAGAGTTATTTTCACTTTTGGCATTTCAGATCAATGAATTATAGAAAGGGACGTAGAAACTACTACCGAAGTTCTTTTATTTAAGGAAGAGGAAGATTGACTTATATAAAGGAGTTAATAGTCCATTTTAATTCCTATTCTAGTTGTTAATGTGACAATTCCAAGATAATTTATCCTTTTGACCTATAAAATTCACTAAATCTGATTAACAGCAATGGTCATTTCTGCTCTTAGCCTCAGGATAGCTGTTCTTCCAGTTGTGTTCCACGTCGCAGTTGGTAGCCCTTTGAGACCATGCTGGCAGTTGGTCTTCACGCTGACTGTCCTTTCAGTGATGTTGATGCAGTCTACAGTTCATCTCCTTACTGTACTTTTCACAAGCACCTACTTGCTGGAAAGATTGTTAGCAAACCCACACATACTCTGTAAGAAGAAGGGGTGGAAGGAATTAAAGCCAGGTCCTGAGATCTAGTATTTATGGAATCCTTCGTTCAAGTTAACCATATATATTATATATATAGGAGAAGTGAAAAATAATAGAATATACTGACCAACCAATGTTTTTTTTTTTAATATGTTTAGTACAGGGTCTCACTACACAGACCTGACTCATAGTGATCCCCTTGTTTTCAGTCTCCCAGGTGCTGGGATTACAGGCATGCACTACCATGCCAAGTCTCAGTTGCTGTCTCATTGTGCCCTGGGGGTGGGACCAGCATGGCAAGCCAGGGATTAAACCCTGGTCCCTGCACCTGCCTAAGCAGGCGCTTTAGTCTGGTGAGCTACCTGGCTGGCCCTCGATTTCTTGAATATAGCTTCTCATCACTTGTTAGTGGTGCGTATTCAGTGATGAACTCTTTAATAGAAGTCCCTCTTTGAGGAAGCATAAAGGAATGTACTACTAGTATTTTAATTCTCTGAAATTGAATGTTTTCCGTGGAAGCCTAACTCAGTGTAGATTCTGTGTTCTGTTTAAGTGCTGAAACTTTTTAGAAGATAAAGAACAGTTGTGCTGTAAAAAGGGGGATCACTACAAGTCGGATCTAGTAGTGAGACCCTGAACACCCTGTAGAACCTTCCCTAAAATACAAAAAGTTTTATATGTTCATAAGCAGTTTTATATGTGTATGTCTTCTGAAAGACCTGTAAGGTTACCTGAAAGCCTCGGGAGTCTATGGTATTAATCATACAGAAACAAGAGTGTTTCCACTTAGGTTTGGAGCCTGGACCCCTGGGTGTCTTGTTTTCTTTTTGTGGGTTTGTGGGTTTTTTAAATAATATATTGAGCTATCACATGTACAGAAACATGCACCGATTAAAAGTATACAATTCAGTGAATTTTCATAAAGTAAGTACATTTGGATTACCAGCGCTGTAGAGAACCTTCTCACGCCTTTCCAGGTGTTTTCACTCCATTCCTCTTCATGCACTAGGAAATCTATCTTGAGTTCTTGTATTATTGTCTAACAGGTTGAATTTTAAGAAGGTTAGTTTACACTTCCAAGCTGTAATGTCTCTGTGACGCACAGCAGAGGTGAACTGAATCTTGGGAACAAATAATAAAGCTTTCTCTTCATGAAATTTGTAGATTGGGAAACGTCCTAGGTGGCTCTAGGAGTGCTGTCTAAATCCATGGGCGCACGTTCTTCAACAAAAGCTCTAGGGAAGATGCCAGCTTTCCCTTTACATTCCCCTTCCAGCCACTCTTCATTCACTGAAAGATGAAAAGTATACATGAATCAATAAAAGCATATAGGAAAAGCACCCCATCTGCGTATTCCACAAGTACCTTGTCAGTGACTTCCCCACCCCAAATTGTGGCCGTAGCAGAGTATTGGCAAGTGATCTGAACTTAAAGGGAATGCAAAGCTTAGCCATCTTACTGATTGCTGTTTGGGATACTGTGAAGGAATAGAAGGCAGAAGAACGAATTACAAATTTCAAAAGTTACAAGATAAAATGGAATTTTTAGATAAAACTAAGCAAAGTGTGTTGTGAGTTTTGTTAGGAATCTTTACTTTTAACAGGGTAAGCTTTGGTTAGTAAAAAAGTTCCCTAGTCATTGATTTATTAGGGTCTTGAAAGTTGGAGCTGGTAGTGGTTTTTAGTGCATAATTGCAAAAAGGATTTTAGTAGTTCCCACTTTGAGTCTTTAATAGTGTGGAGATAGTGTATCAAAGTACGTGTACACTTAGACTTGATAACCCAATTACATGGGGTGAAATTGAAAAATATGAATGTTTACAATGTTTTAATTACAGGAAAAGATACATTCCCCTTAATCTCCCTTAAAATACTGGTCCTGATCAAAGTATGACTGAAACTCAGCAGGGCAAATGTTAGATCCTATAGCTTTATTTGTGGAACACATGGTGTTACCACGTGGGCTCCAAAGGACATGGGCAGCTAGCTGGTTGTAACCCAGACAGCCCCTGGGGCTGATGACTGAACCACATCTAACCCATCATTGTTGCTATTTCTAAAGCCATTCTGGAAGTCGTCTGTATGAGTGAGTGTACTGTAGCTGTCTCCATGTACTAAAAGGATTCAAGACATTTACTTTTCATGCCCATTTTGACTGGAGAAGAGCCAGAAGTTGCACAGTGCCACATCCAGTGCATAAGGTGGACAAGGACACCGTGATTTTACAAGCCTGCCTTTGCATTGGATGAGACTCACAGCACTCACCTCTTAACACAAGACTTCCAGAATCTTCAGAAAGTGTCTAGAACAACTGGATACGTATTTTCAAAGGTTAGAGGGAATATCTTGAGTGTGTTCACTGGCATTGTGTCTTTCACTGTAATGATTTTTGTTTAAACTTTCATCAGCAATTTTGATCAGCCTTTGTAGGTATCTCAGTCTTGTTAAAGAAATAGCCCAGAGAGTAATGGTTTCCTCAGCCATTCTGCCAGTAAATATCAACCATCTTGGGTATACTCTCCAAAGCCCACCGACCAGACCATGCAAGTGTTCTTAGAAGTCTGCCTTTGTACGGTGGAGCTATGGTGCCTAGATCGTGCCCCTCAAGATTCTGAAATGCTGAGTGTGACAGCATGGAAACATTTCCTCTGGTAGCTCTGATTGTAAACTAGCTTGCATTCTTATTTATAGCCAGTATGGACTTCAAGTACTGTAGAATCAGAAATGGAAAGCCTCAGACCCCATCCAGCCTTTAGTGTCCATTCTCAGAGGATCCCTAGGTGATGGACTTGCAAATAAAGTTCCGGAAACCATCTGGTAACCGTTGAATGTGGTTGAACTCACCCTCAGTTCCATCTGTGTATCATGAATCCTGTGTCATGTCAAACTGTAAAATTCTTAAATGTAAGGGTACTTCCTGTTTAAGACTTGTATTTGTCATAGTAACACAGTCCCTTCTCTAATCTCCCAGGAGGTCTTATGTGTTCTCTCCTTTTAGCCCCCTACTAACTCCCCCCAACCCAACTCAAAAAAAACCCGACTGGACAATTTAGCTGATCCCTTGATATTAACAGTTACAAAATGGCCCTAGGAAGCCTTAGCCTGATCCCTCGCATTCAGTTTCCCATTGGCCCCTGGTGGGCGTAATCATCCTTGAAAGAAATACACTGCTGTTTCTCTGCTCATTTTGAGTTACTTTCCTGTACATGTTTGTATACTTTGTAGTTCTTCAACTTTAAAGTCTCCCACTCTCATTTCTTAGTCTGGTGGAATTTCTGTTACAGCTAATAGATTTTTCACTAGTTTGTACTGCTGGTGCACAGCATTTCTGCCATGTGAGCAGGGCCTTTTGGGATGGAATCTACTGTCCCAGGAAGAGAAACTATCAAACTAAATTAGAACAGTGGTTCTCGGAATGCTGTTGGGTCAGCATCCTGGGAAGTGGTCCAAGTGCAAAGGTATGAGCCCCATCCCATACCTGAATCAGGATCTGCAAAGTGGACTGAGGAATTTGATTTAGCAAATGGTTCTGGTGATGCTTAGGCAGTACTGAAGTTTGAGAATCACTGACTAGAACTCTATACTTTTTCACTTTTTAATCTGTTGAATCTTAATAATTCAAAAAGTTACCAGAAATATAGGGCAGTTTTGAATAGCTGCCCCAGCTCCCTCCCCCACTTCTGAGACCGTTACTGGATTGCTAAATTACCCCCATTGGGCCCAAACTTGGAATCTTGCCTAAGTTTCCCACAGTGCAGGGAGCATCACTCCCATGCCCAACAAGCAAATGATTTTAACACAAAATTTACCATTTTTTCCTCCACCTTGGGAAGTGCACCAAATTGAAGATTTGTGGTTAGGTGCATAGGCAAAACAATTCTAGCTGCTTTGTTAACTCTTTTTTTTTTTTTTTTTTTTTGCTTTGTTAACTCTTACAATGAAAATCTGTGGTTTTCAAAGCAGCTGTCTTATTAAATAACAAAGGTGTTAGGAGTCATATGTATGAATTACTTGCCTGCTTAGTAGAGCAAAAGACAATGGATATGCCTTCATTTTGTTCCCTCTTGCTGAAAGCTGGATAGGATGTTAAAATGACTGGCCAGAGTTTGGTTTGTGGGCTACTGGTGTTTTCTTCTTCCCGTTTCTGCTAACTGTGAGTTCCGTTCTGACAGCACTTACCCTTCGACAGCACCAGGATTACATCCCCTTCCTGAAACTCAAGGTCCTCTGGTTGGGTAGCCTCGTAACTGAAGAGTGCTACCACTTGGCTCCCTTCTTTAAACTGAGACTCTTTTATCTGGCTGTTAATGTCAGAATTTTTGCTTTCTTGCGGTTCTTCTAGGAAGCCTTGGTCACCCTGAAATAATAAAGGGCTTGTTAATTTTGCCAGTTTTTTGGCCAGTCAACACTGAACATCACTAAAGGAAACAGTAAAATGTCACGTACAAGCTCAGAAAGACCAGTTTGTGATCTGTGCCTAGCATAGACCTAATACACTTTTTTTTTTTTTTTTTTTTTTTGTGGTACCGGAGATTGAACTCAGGACCTTGTGCTTGTCAGGTGTGTGCTTATTCTACTGTGCTATCTCCCTGGCACATTTTTTAATGTGTTTAGTACAGTGTCTACAGGGCCTTACTACGTAGATCAGACTCATAATGATTCTCCTGTTTTCAGCCTCCCAAGCTCAGCGATTACAGGCACGCACTACCACACCCAGTCTTAATCACCATCTCAGGCAGCCCCAGGGGTGGGGCTGGCATGGCACACTAGGGATTGAGCCCTGGTCCCAGTGACTACCCAAGCAGGTGATTTACTCTGCTGAGCTCCTGGCTGGCCCCCAATGCACATTTTAAGGCTACTGAATGGTGGGATGAGTGAAATCAAAAGGTCTGAAGAACTGCACATAATCTTACATTACCTTACTGGCACCTTGCTATAGACCTAAGAAATGTAGAATGGGCATTTTTGTGGAGAAAGTATGAGTCACAAGGGGCAGCTTATGGTCCAACTTGGGCTTTTTAGCACAAGTTCTAACAGACTTTCTCCAGCACCACCATTAGGGCCCTTGTTAAAACTGCAAGTTTTCTTGCATTCCTGCATGCGAGGACCTTCCTAAGGGTGGGCCACTGCAATCTACATTTGAAGTCTTTCAGGTATTGCCTGTATTCGCTAAAGCTTGCGAACCGCTGTACCGTGCCAACCTGAGGTCATGAGAAAAGCTTGCCTTTTACCTGTAAAAGCACTTCCTTGCGCATTTTAGATATAAACTTAGGCCTCTTACATGTTACCATTTTGTGTTCCATGAATAGGAGAAGGGTACAATTTCTGGAGGTTTGAGTCATGGGATTTAATACATCAGTGGCAGAAACCATACTAGACTAAAATGCACTGTTACAATTCCAAGTTTATTTTGTTGAACGCTGGTGCATGCTGTTACTAAAAGGCAGTACAGAGAGGTAGAAGTGGCCCTGCGGGGTCCGCAGATCTCAGGTTACATCCCAGTTCCACTGCTCACCAGGCGTGTGTCCCTGAGCAGCATAATCTCAGAACTTCAGGCCTCACCTGAAGAGCTAAGGGCTTAAAGGAGATGGCAGGGAGTGGTAATGAACATACATTCTGTGACAGCATAGGTTCAAACATACATGTTTAAATTTGGTCACTGATAAGTGTTTCTGATTACAGTAGATCTATAATAGGTGTAACTTTTCCTAGTTAGAACCTGACTCATTAGTTCCAAGCTAAGAGATACAAAATGTTCAGCAGTGCCCCTGAACCTGAATGAGTTCCAAAAAAGACTTGGAAATTTGGGCAGTTTTACATATGGATAGCCACTAAACAGATTGACCTCATCAAAGGTAAAAAATAATTTATAGGTTTTTTAAGTGAAATCACATGTACAGCAGAAGAATCCCTTCTAGGCAGATGTCCAAGTAAATGGATAAACTGCAATAGCCATGCAGTGGAATACTGTGTAGTAATCAAAAGAATTAGATTTCTGAAACCTGAAAGACTACAGTATAATTTTGTACAGTTGTATGAAAGGCAAAGTAATGTTGACAGCAGCTACTAGTTTTCAGGGGCCAGAGTTAGTGGAGGGAGTTAACAAAAAGCCATGACAACTTTTCCTCTAGAACTGAAGGGCCAGGTCGAGTTACCTTGTTGCTCCCCCTTCTAGCATCTCCTGCTATTCTTTCTTGGAATTACAGCAAGATGATAATAAACACAGGCGGCCCCTGGAGCCAGCTGGCCTATGTCATCTCAGTCAGGTTTCTTGCCCTCTCTGCTCTCTCCTAAATTATAAAATGGAATATTGTTTACCTCATGGATTATCAGTTTCACAGAACATACCTCACAGTGTGTGGGATGTGGGAAGTTCTCAAGATGCTCGCTATTAGGAAGAGGCTGTTACCAACTCCTCTCTGTGAAAGGAAGGCTCACTATTTTTCACCTGAAAGAGTTCTTCATAGAAATTCAAGAAGGTGAAGGAAGGATAGCTTAGCCTCCAGCTGTGACTTCATCCCAGCCCTTGCTTGGCCATGATGGTCATAATGCTGACCCACTCAGGCTCCCCAGCCAACAGGGGGCTGGAGCTTTCCTGTGGGCCCCTGGTCCTCTGGGCCCACTTTTCTCCATGGGAAACCTTTGCCAGTTGCAACTTCTAACCCCCCATGGCCCCAACACAGCGCAGTGCTTGGCAGCAGAAGGAGCTCGTTAATGTTGAAGCATTGTCAGCCCTGGGCTCACTGTACTCACCACTGTGTTCTCACACCAGAGAGTCAGGCAGTAGTTTTTCACTTGACCCCAGGCATCCTGCATGCTTTCTTCTGAAAGGTTCACCAGCTCATTGCTGTCCCGAGGCAGATAACTGAATGGAGATAGGAAGCAGGGACAAGTCAGAGGCTGTAAGCACAAAAACCATCCCTCAGGTCCTTGGGCCAGCGAGAGATCCAGAGCCATGCCCATGTGTGCTGTGTGCAAAGCGCTCACCTCAGCTTAGTGTGCTCTGGTAGGAGCTGCAGTTTTTTGGACACCATGTGCCAGACTTGGTTGTAAGGGAGCCCAGGCTGAGTCTCCATGACCACCGTGTACTTGTAGTGTACCTTGACTGTGTAGGGTGTAGGAACCCTGAGCTGTATTTCCTGAGAGAGGTGGAAACAAAGGAAACTCCTGAGTGAGGCTTTCAGCAACACCTTCGATGACTGCTGCTTGTCTTGTTGGTATAGCAGTATCCCTTCAGCAGGGGAGAGGCCAACAAGTGACTGGCTTCATATTCACCATGAATGACCTCCAGAGATCCTCAGCCCAACTCCCACTTGAATGAATACTCCACTGGATTCAGCAGACCAGCTATGGGGAATGCATGAGGTAGGGAAGTGGTGAGGAGCTCCACAGCCCACAGACTGTGAGGTGGACCTCTTTCCCTCCTGGAGGCCTCTAACCCAGTCAGTCACACCATGGTTGACAGCCCAGACCCATCCATCTTCTCCCACTTGAAAAAATCAAGGAAAATCTTACCTTGGGCTCTTCTTTCTGTTTCTGACCTAAATAAATGGAAAAAGTAGAGGGTAAACGAAAAGCAGATGGTGAATGCGCAGTCTTCGCTGGCCCCTGCCATAGGCAGAATGGAACCTCTTAGAGCATGGGACCAAGCTGCTTAGCCTTTATTCTTGGTGGTAATTTTTAACCTTAGTAAATTGCAGGGAACATCTGACTCTGGGAAAAATACGAAGGTTATGAGTACATGAATAAAGTCAGTCTCTGCTCCTAGGGAGCCGGTAGGACGAGCAGCACATCCTTACCTACCAACAGTTGGCTAGGCCTCCGATACGTTAAACCTGTATGATCCAAAGCAATGAGAGAAGGGAGTGTGAGATGAGCCCCAGGCTGCTGGACGAAATATTAGAATCACTTATCTTTTACTTTGTTATTTTATTTGTGTATATGTTTTCTAATGTGTATAACTTATTGACGGTAGTATAACATGAGACAGAAGCATGAATGTATTTCCTAAAGGCAGTACATGACTTCCGAGAACAATCATTTATCTCAAACTCTGCTGATCGTTAGAATAACAACCTAGGCTCTTTTTTTTTTTTTTTTTTTGCTAAAAATACAAATTCCCAAGCCCATCCCTCCCTGAACACACACACACACACACACACACACACACACACACACACACACACACACTCAAAATCAAAAGTCTAGAAATCTGTATTCTTTTTTTTTTTTTGCTCCGAATGCCTTCAAGGCAGGTTTGGCTGGCTTGTGTTGTGGGGATCTCACCACAGCAACCTGAGCCTGACTGTTTTGTTGAAGCAGCCACTTAAAGCACTGAGCTAAGGGGCAGGCCCCCAGAATCTGTATTCTTAAAACCTTCCCTGGGTAATATGTGACCTTCGATGAGTCCCTAGACAGAAAAAATAACAAAATACTGTGTGTATATGTGGGGTGGAGGGTTGAAATAATCTGCTTATAAATATGCATGTTACAATATTAGCATTAAGGGGCCGGGGAGATGGCTCAGTAGAATAAGCACTTGCCTAGCAAGTGCAAGGGCCTGAGTTCAATCCCCGGTTCTGGAAAAAAAAAAAAAAAAGATTTACAATATTAGCATTAAATGTCCTTACTGTGAGGACAGCATTGTGATTGCACAGAGGCCTGTTCCTAGGAGAGGCCAAGTGTGGTTTTCCTCACGTGTCTGCAGTTTACCTTTAAATGGCTCAGGGGTAAAAAAAAAAAAAAATCATATGAAGGACACTACAAGACAGGTACAGGGCACAAGATGTAAACAACTGGCGATTCTGGTGAAGGGCATTCTGATGCTACTCTATGCTACTTTTTTTTTTTTTTTTTTTTTCAGAACCAAGGATTGAACTCAGGCCCTTGTACTTGCCAGGAAAGCACTTATTCTACTGAGCCATCTCCTCGGCCCCTAGTTTTTGTCTTAGATGTCCTGAAATTTGTTTTTATGTAGTGAATGATTTACAAAAGCTTTGTTTCCTTTTTTTATATATATACAGCGTCTGTACTGGGGATCAAACTTGGGACCTTGCGCTTGCCAGGCAGGTGCTTATGCTACCAAGCTATCTCCCCAGCCCTCCATTGTATCCTTCTTTTCTCATTTTTTTATTTTCCCTCCCTTCCTTCTTCCCCCCATGTTCTCCTTTCTTTTTGAACAATTTCTTCCTGTTTCACAATATCTATTATACATTTTGATTCTTATTTACGTTTTCAGTTTCTCACACCAGAGAGACAATGCAATATTTATACAATTGTCTAATTTATTTCATTTAAGAGTATGATCTTAAAGTCCATCCCTTTAGCTATAAATGTCTCAGGTTCATCCTTCTTTTGGATGAGTAATATATATATCTCACATCTTTTTTATCCATCCCTTGATTGATGGGCATTTAGCTATTACAAGCTGTACCGTTATAGGTGCACATATATCACTGTGGTGTTTTTTAATTCTTTTAGGAAGATATCAAGAAGGGGAATAGCAGGGCCACATGGGATCTCTAGTTCTAGTTTTTTGAGGAATCTCCACACTGATTTCCATAGTAGATGTACTAGTCTATGCAACCCAAATCAGAATACCATTAGCATGCCTCATAGAACTAGAGAAAACATTCCTAAAATTCATTTGGAACCAGAAGAGACCTAGAATAGCAAAAGCAATCCTGGGCAACAAAGGCAAGGCATGGGCTTCACAATCCCCAAGTTGAAATAACACTATAGAGCTACTGTGATCAAATCAGCGTGATACTGGGGGGACTCCTGAGAGTCAGTGGAACAGATTAGAAGATACAGAAACAAATCCAGACATTCAGTAACTTTATCTTTGACAAAGGGGCCAAACATTTTCACCAAGAGAAAGATAACCTCTTTAATAAACTGTTCTGGGAAAACTGGCTTTCCACATGCCAAAGATGAATACTAGACCCATGTCTATCACTGTGCACTAAACTAAAGCAAAAGTGAATCAGAGG